CCAATAGCAATTTACTGCTCTTATAACTTTGATCACACTCCTCCTTTTCTTACCGATGATTAGAGTTTAAGGTCCTTGATAGTCCCTACCAGGTCTATTGTTTCATTCATTTACCTAACAAATATGTATTTAGCAGGTCTAGATCACTGTCTGTGTAGAGTATAAGGTCAGAGCTTGAAGGCAATAAAAAGGTTAAAATTATAAATTGTATATTATGTATATTTTATCACATGTTCAAAAAATAAAATTTTTAAAAAGGTAACACATAGCTGGACATTACTTAACATTCCTGGCAGAGTCTGGAATCAAAAACAGTAATATTTCTACAGCAAACACACACGAATATTTCTACTAATAGAATAAAGACTGTAAATAGCCACAGTTCACTTTGGGTGACTTTGTGCTACCAAATCAGTTAATGAAAAATTTCTGTTTCCAGAGCCCTGTGGATTCCAGAAATGTGCAAAAGCATCGTAGACTGTATCACATGACATAGCTATTCAATTGATTTGTTCATGATTTACAGTTTGCTTTTTGTATTTAAAGTCAATAGAATGTTTTCATGTCTCAAACAATTTAAAAAGTTCCCTGAAAAATCTCAGGGCCCTAATGGAGAAAACAGGCCTGGAGATAGGCCTAGAATCTAGACAGTCATCCAGTGTTCCATCGCCATTGCCCCCGGACCAGGGGATGAGGCTGGGGAATAGGATAGGTAGAGATACTAAGACAATGCTGCCTCCCAATGATTCTCTTCCCTCCTTGTCTGTTTCTCTCAAATAGAACCCAGACTGGAGATACATCAGTTGAAACCCTCAATACGTCAAGAATGTAAATGTTTAGTTTTGGCACATATTTAAAAGCAGCCGGTGGGTATAGATCTGCTTAGTATCTTCGATCCACCTCAGTTAGAGGGCGTGGAGAAAGAGGGAGAGTCCTGAGGGTGGTGAGTATCTATCTCCAAGGAAGATCAGAATGGGCCACGGGTCCCTCTCCCACAGATGACCTCTATCCTATCTGGCAGTCTTAATAATTGGCTTACCTAGGGGACAGGGTACTCTCTGATGCCTCCTGCAGGCATCTGACCTTTCTTCTTCTGAGAGAAATGATCCTGGCCCTGTTGTGGCATTGTCTGGGTACCCTCAGACATACAGCTCAGCCCTGAGGAGAGTGAAGCAAGGAGATGCCATCAAATGCTGGTAGAAGAGGAAAACATCCCTTTTGAGTCCTGTGCCTTCTCACCTGCCCTAATACTTCGGAGGAAAGGGGGAAGGAATCTAGCTGTCCTCAAAAGATATTCAGTCCTTAAATGGCCCTTTCTCTTGCAGCAGGACCTCACCGTCCCCCCGACTGCTGCTTCTCCTATGCACAAAAAATCCGATGCATATTCATGGAAAATTTCTTTGAAACAACCAGCGAGTGCTCCAAGCCCGGTGTCATGTAAGTGCTAAGCTCACCGGCTGTGTCTTGGGAGAGGGTCCTGAAGGATGGATGTCCAGTAAAGTCCCAGCATCTGGATCCTGCCAAGTCAAGGGTCAGGCTTTTGTCACTGTTAGGACCCTGTGGAGCTTCAGGTATAAGATGCTCCCAGTGAAGAGGGAGGTTATGGAAGGAAAAAAAGAGCAGGAGTAAGGCTGCCCAAGCGAACTCTCACAAGTCACTAAAGGAGTCTCAGAAGCTGAGGGAGCATGTCAGGGTGGAGACACCATGAGCTCCTGCAGCAGAAAAAGGAAGTAACAAGCTGGGCTGAGCGGGGAATTTGAGAGGCCAGAAGGATGAGGCTCCCCACCCCCATTTCCAGAACCCTCTTCACTGTGTAATCTTTTTCTCCCTTGTTCCCCAGCTTTATCACCAAGAGAGGCCGTCATGTCTGTGCCAATCCCAGTGATAGGAAAGTTCAGAAATGCAGAATGAAGCTGACTGAAGCCAAAGACCTGACGAAAATATTTGCTTGAAGAAAAGGGATACTAGGTGCCAGCCACCCATCTCCATCTCTCTTACCTCACCTCCTGGGACTTTCTTGGCCTGAATTATTAAAAAATAAAAATAAAATAAAAAAATAAACTGTTCTGTTCTGGTTATAAAAGCTATGCACTAATAAAAAGTTTCCAATTTAACTTTTCTTGAACTTTAAGAGTAAAAAGAAATGTAGAAATTGCTGAACTTTGGATTTCTTTTTTCTTTTTTCAAAATGAGACATCATTTTATTTTTTTTAAAAGCTAAAAATATGACTCATTCAAATACAGATTGAATATTGTCAAAGATGTACATAACCCATTAATGAGAGAACCATTAAACTGATTCAGAGATCATCTGAGGAACAGAGATTTATATGGTTAGTTGGAGATGGCATTCTGAAATGAATAACTTAGAGAAAAATAGATTAATATCCAATAAGGTAATATAATTATAACTTTTGGGATTCTTTTCTACTGGACAAAAATCATTTGCATCTTGCAATGGACAAAAATTCACAAGTTAACATGTAATTTCACAAAGTCTGGGCCATGATTAATAGTAAATAGAACATCAATCAAAAACTCATTTCCCCCAAAGATGTAAGGAATCCTGGGGTAGACCTTTTAAACAATGTTCCAATGTGACATTGAAAGGCATGCAGTCATCCTTATTTCTGTTTTGGATGTTTTCTCTTAATAGATATAACTTCATAAAAGATGTCTTCTTTAAAGTTAAAGAACATCAAGAAAAATATTTAAAGTTGGAGTTAATATCAATTTTATATTCATATCTGTCCAAACCTATACATTTATATTTGTAATTCATAAATCCAGGTCACCTTTCTCATAAAACTCAGAAGAAAGCACTGAATTCTAAATAACAACAAAACTTATTTTAAAAAAAGTTTAAAACCTATGCTTGCTTTTTGGGTGCTTTGCTTACCATAAGAAATCAATTGAAAAAAACTGATCAACAACTAAATATCCTTTATAATAATAAATTACTATTAGAAAAAAATCTTGAGACAATGGTCAAAGCTGGAAATTACTATAACGCCAAAGAAATTAAACATAAATTTACAGTATAGCCCGTCCTTCCTACAAAAATAACTAATCTTTGAAAGCTTGACTACAGTTTAGAAGTTTCTCCATCATTCAAGAGTGGAGGGATGGGCAGGAGATGGTTGGGGATAAGGGGTAAAGCACAGATATTTACAATTTAAACAAGCATTCCAGGTGATTTTTATGCAGGTGGTCCTAGGACCTCACTTAGAGACACTATTTCAAGAAGTGCAGGTTAATAGGTAGACAGGCTAGCTGGCGGACGGTGAAGAGGAAGAGTGTCTTAGTATATTTCACTCCATTATGGATGCCATTCTTTTTTCACAGCATAAGTGGAAACCCCTAGATCCTCAGTTGTAAATGCAGATGCTGATTATAGGGGCCCTGGCTCTGGTAGGTGAAGAAGAAGGAGTAGGAATGAATGGTCAGGCTTGCACTGAGGTTGTCAGAGAGCTTCATTTCTAAGAGGTGGAGGGGGTAGACCTTCTTATATTTGACCAGAAGTTATCCAGGATACTGCCTAATTTTCTGTCTGGCCCATTGTCCCCTCCAGAAGACTTCCACTGCAGATATCCTTCTTTATATAGAGAGCAGTGCTTATAGATTTATACTGGGGCCAACCTTTCACCTGACTGTTCTGAAATGGAGACTGGCAATGTTTTAGTTTGTTCTCCTGACCCAAGTTTCTTCTCCTAACACCCTCTGACTCTCATCTTTGTGTTACCCAGCTCCTGCTGAGAAATGTTTTTTCAATAATCTTCTCCTTTACCTATATAAGTTTTTTCAGCCTCCTGTGTTTTGCCATCAAGTTGATGCATGTCTTTTATATAGAACAGACATTTCTCACCTTATGGTCAGCTAATGTCATCTTTTCTGATCCCCTGCTGCTACTATGGATTTTTTTGTTGTTGTTTTCATATTTATTCTGACATTTAAATGGGATTTGGGGAGGTGAAAGAGGCAAACACAGATGCTCAGGGTTCTGGCCTATATTTTGACCCATGTATGATCTTTCCTGTTGCTCATTACTTCACTATATTCTGTCAAATTCAGAAGTTTGGAGCTAACACCATCCCACTGAGCTCTGGAATATAAGATTGAGTGATGGCAATAGCAGCTTTTAGCTTCTCTGTAGAGATTTTGTTTCAGAGCCTTGTAAAAATGTCAAAGATTTGTTAGATTAAAAATGTACTAGACCTAAGGGGAATATGTATGGTTTCATTAGGTTCTCTGGCTGACCAAGTTGTTAGCTCAGTAGAATGAAATTGAGAGCACAAACCACCTGAGCAGTGTGAATGGCAGAGAGTCAGGTGTCTCCTAGTCAAGACTTTGGGTCATGACAATGGCAGCTGAACAGAAATGAAGGATGGAAATCAAGACTCTCCTTTCTGACCAAGCATCTGTCAATCACAGGTCTTTGAGGTCTTGCAGGAGATAATGGCATGTTATGTCTGGGTCAACTGCATTAGACTTACATACTCTAAATACTTTTACATGCTGTTCCTCAAAAACAGTATGTTCTTTTCTGTTTCCTTGTTTTCTGTGCTGCCTCTGCCAGAAACACCTCCCCCACCACCCCGTTCTCAACTCTTCCCAGCAAAATTCAACCTACCCTTCAAGGTTCAATTCAGGTGCCACTATAAAACATTTACCTCACTATCTCTGCCAGAGCACCTATCTCCCTTTCTCTGGAGTCTTGAAACATATTTATTGTCACTCAAAGAGATAATTATTGAGTGATTATGTTATACATTGTAGGCATTAGAAGAACAATGAGAACAAAACAAGATTTTAGCCCTTCAAGAATATTTCGGTGTATAGAGAAGACTGAGAATAAGAATAAGATATGATATCTGTGTGCAAAAATCCTATCTAATCCATCACTAACTCTTCAAATTATTACATAACATTGGATTAAAATGATGAGGTTGTTTGTACTGAGGGCAGTCAGCTTAGAGCTCAGGCCTCCCACCTCCAGTCAGACTGCCCAAAGGCTGAAGAGACCAATATATTAAAGCACACCACTTAAGAATTTGTACCACAGGCATATCTCGAAGATATTGCAGATTCAGTTCCAGACCATTGTAATGCAAAAAAAGAGTCTTGCCTTCAATTCATTTAAAAAAAAATCACATCTGTGAAGCACAATACAGTGAATCACAATAAAATGAGGCACGCCTGTATAGATCAGGGCTTCTGAAACTTTAGCATGCATAAGAATCACCTGGAGGGTTTGTTAAAACAGATTGCTGGATTCTAGCCCCAGAAATTCTGATTCATCAGAACTGGGTGGAACCAAAGGAAAAAAAAAAATCAGCATTTCTAACAAGTTCACAGGTAATGCTGACACTGCATTGTTAAGTGGGAATTTGAAGAGGAACTCACACTCTTGACTTTGTAATTTCAGCATTGCTTGCAACTTTTATAAAAAGCGTATATTTCTTTTTATAAAAGTAACCAAAAAAATTCAAATAATTGATAAACTGAATCTTCATTGTCTTTTCAAGGACAAACAACAAAACAGGACAATTCTTGACTTGTGTTGATACGTCATTTTTTTCAGGATGAAGCTTACTTATCAAAGCTGCTTAACTATAAATGAAATATACAGCAGGAAGAAGTATAAACATGATTAAATAAGCCTGACAACCAAATTCGAATTTTGAAAAGTAAAATCTTGGAAGTTGTGAAAAATAGCTAGAAAAAAATGTGCTTTAAAGTTATAGAAAAAAACTAATTAGAGCTGCACAGAAATCAAGGCATAAAATAGTGAATGGAAACATCCGTATTTTTCCTATTTCACATTTAGAAACACAAACAAGATTTAAAAAGTAACATAGCTCATTCTCTTTTCTCTTTGTGTGGGCTGCGGGTTCAACTGAGGACTCAACCAGGACTGGGCCAGAGGGCATGACCTGCATGATTAAGGCCAGTGGGTCTGGGACTGAGAATACAGTCAGGGTGGCCAGAAGATTTGTAACATACAGGGCATGGAGCAAAGAAGTAAACATACTGAGGTTAATGGGAGCCAAGTTTCTTACTGCTAGAGTAAGGAGGGAAACATATATAGAGAGAAGACAAAAATAAACCCTGTGGCGTTGACTTGGAATTGAATGTATTGGTATAAATTTTTGGTTTTTCACATAGCTAAACCAATGATATAGAAATTGCTATAAATGTTGGAAATTGACATAATAGAAATAGATATACCTTTACACATACTTATATATATATGCTTCAATATATTTCCTAGTTCTGTCCACTGAGAGCTCAGAACTGAATGCAATGCCATTCCCAAAACAATGAGAACCCTAAGCATACAGATCTTGGTTTCTCAAAACCCTCTTCCACTAACGGGAATCAGGACTCATTAGAGAAATGGCTGATTCCAGAGCAGTGGCAAAGTATTAGATAAGCCTGGATCATCTTTTTGTGCCCAAAAGTAAGAAGACAAAGATAAATAAAACTAAAATCTTCTAGAAAGAGGAAAATCCAGGTCATCCCAGATAAAAGTTGCCTCCAAAATATTCTCAATACTCTCAATGTAGAATTCTATACCCAGCGAAAATACCAATCAGGTATAAAAAATGAGTAATGACTTCTCAGACAAACGAGAACTCAGAAAAGTTTATGTCCCATATACCCCTTTCTGTATTATTCAATTTTTTAATAAACCAATGTATGTCTGTTGCTTTAAAAGACATTTTTAACACTTTTTAAATAGGCACTGCATACTCACCAGTGGGCAATGGAAGAACACTTAAGGTCTCTAATTACGTTGCTACTAAATTCTATTCATCTCACTGTATTGCAATTTTCATTTACCTTTTTGAGTCTCTCTTTAAGCTATGAGTCCTTTGAGGCCAGGGTCATCTTCAATTCCACCCTCCAAGCTGGCCCAGTACCTGACATTTGATATTGTGGCAAAGAACTGATGTGGTCACTAAACTCCATTCCCTTTTCCTCCTGGGCACACAGATGAGTATGTTTTCCATACCTTTAGCATTATGTTGGAGCCAGGTGATTTCACTTTGGCCATGGAGTGTAAGTGAAAGTAATTTATACCATTTCCAGAACCAGCCCATAGAAAACTCCCAGTCCCTTTCTGCTTCTACCCTTTGGTAGCAAAAACCTGGAGGCCTTATGTTGAAAATGGTGTTATTACAAGATAGAAGAAGCCTTGGTCCCTAAAGGGGTACATGAAACATTCCTCCACAACACACACACACCCTCCTCTCACTGTTGGCCTACATTGGACTGCAACATGACCAAGAGATAAACTATAATTCATCCCCTGAGATTTAGGCATTGTTTATCATCGCAATTAACACATCCAGACTAATGTCAATAAGACCTCGATTATTGAAAAATAAAGGAATTTCCGGTAAAGCTCCCAGCAACAATTTGGCAAGTAGGCTAGTCTCCACAAAAACAAAGTAAACATTTTTTCTTTCCAACTCATAGTCTTCCCAGAAATGACTTGCTTCCTTAGATTGTTCCTAAAGACAATTGTTATCATTTGACTTTAGGAGTTTAAATAGTGTTATTATTGATGATAACAAATACAGAAAATGTATTAATTGATTGATTAATTAATTTATTAATACACTTATTAATTTATAGTAAATTACTGTCTTGACACCTAAGCATGAGAATTCAGCTGTTTTCTGTAAGATTATACATACTTCGACCAGTTCAATTTATTAATTCATCCTTTTTCTAAAACACATATTTATAAATCACCTTCTATATACTAGGCTTTGAGTGAATGAGCAAAGATAAATAACAGATGTTCCTTGCCTTGATGAGTCACAGACAGAAGATATAAACAGCCTTCTAACCACAACAGCAAGTAGAATGGGGCAAGTACCCCCTACAAGAGTATGGTAAAGGCACTGGACTGAGAGCCTGCAGAGGTGGCTCTGTTTTGTGAACATAAGCAAGTTGCTGGCCTTTCCTGAGCCCCAATTCTTCCTTGGTAAATGGTCGGTTTAGACTAATCTAAGGATGGCAAATACACAGCATGCAAGCTGCACGAGAACGGAAAACACCTGTCAGTTACAGCACTCCTTTCTGAAGTTCAGGGACATGGCCTGAGAATATTTTCCAACACACAGCTTCAATCCACCACTAATCAATGAAACCTACTAGCCGTCCCTGAACTAGGCATTGTCTAGGTTCCCATCAAGCTTCCCTGTAATGAAAGGTAGAAACCAGAATTTCCCAAAGAGATCCATTACCTGAGCTCAGAAAGGTCTAAAACTAAAGGCTTTGTAGAGACGCCAAGCCTGCCAGAGAGAGCTTAGTTGGGGCTCCCATGTTTCTCCATAGCATAGTGGTTAAGAACAGAGACTCAGGAGCCAGACTGCCCAAGTATGAACCCCAATTCTACTTACCAACTGGCAAAACCTGGGCAAGTTATTTATGGTCTCTGTGCCTCAGTTTCCTCAATTGCTGATACAAAGATTAAATGGGTTAATATTCATGAAGCATTTGGGACAGCTAATGGGTATAGCAACCATTATATAATTTGTGTTAAATTATCAACTGAGTTCTTCACCCTGGGGTATGGTGAGAAGGTGGGGATGAGACTGGAAGCTGAAGATTCTGCTTAAGACTTCAAGTGAGGACTTCTTAGACCTGAGGTGGGGGACTCCAGACCTCATCCTGTTACCCCAAGTCCCCTCTGAACTCCAAACAAACAGATCCTGAATTTCCAGCCCTGATACAGCCTTGTTCTGAGGGGTAGAAGTGGACACTCGACACATCCTAGCCTTGAGGTCTTTGGCTAAGTCTGAGACAGTGCCTCCAAGCCCCCCATGCTCATAGTCTATGCCTAAGGAAGGGCTTATGTCAAAGAGTTAAACTTATTCCCACTAAGGATGGAAGGCAATTTCCTCCCTGAAACCTTGGCTCTCTATGCTTCCTTCACTCCACCCTCAACAAATGTGCAGGATATGAAATTGCTGAGGCATCCACTGCTTTCTGCTTCCCTTTGAAATCTTAGTTCCCTTATTTTAAAAAATATTTTGCCTTGGTGATCATTTCTCAACACTCCCTCAGCCCAGGAGCCTGAGAAGTCCCTACCGGGCCCACTCTCCTCCTGCATCACCTCTCTTCACACGAAGATGAAGGTCTCCATGGCTGCCATCTTCTGCCTCCTCCTCATCATCACCACCATTGCCCTAGGGTCCAAGAGTAAATCCTCCTCACGTGAGTGCAATGCCTTGTCTTCTTTCCAACCTGGTCCCTATGGGGAAATAAACAGGAATAAGGTTACTGGAAATATGGGGAGAAGGGGCTCAAGAAGGAGCTCTGGTGTTTTCTTAAACTGGTTTCACCCCAGGACCAGGCCCTCTTTCTGCCATGAACTGAGGCCAGCCTGTTTCTATACTTCATCAATTCAGCTCTCTTTGCTGTTAAGTAAAAAAGTGTTATCCCAAGAGAGACTGAGGAGCAGTGTTTGGAGCCCTTCAAAGCCATTTTTGTCAATTGCATCCTGGGATGTGGGCCCAGCCTGCTTCCAAGGTCAGCCCTACACCAGCAGCATTGCTTAGGTTTGGTCTGGGGGTGGAGAAGTGGGTCCCACCTAGGCTAACTTTTTTCAGCTTATTTCTTAGGACGAGCTAAGAAATGCCTTTACAAACAACCAAACTATTCCTTGCCCTTAAATTTTACCTCATTTCCTTTTCAGAAACTGAGGGGAAACATAGAAGGTTGTTGAAATAAAGCCAGTCTAAAGTTAGTGGGAATCTGGACAGTTTGATTTGCCTCTCTGAAGTCGTTTGTCAGCTCTGAGGAATGCAGTGGGAGTGGGTCTCAGGACCAGGGGATCCCTTATTCCATTCTTCAGAAAGCGAGGATGTAGCCTGGAATAGTGCTGGATAGCAGGACAAGATCTTTTCCTTTCCACTCAAGCATCCAGTCACCTTTGGTGACCCCTGAGACGATCATGATACATACTCACATTTCTGTCCAGGTTGATCACATAACATGCACATCTCCAATCACTCCACCCCATAAGCACAGCATGTGCTTGTTTGTACAGGGCCCTTGGTCTGAAACACCCTTCCTGCTACATCCACAATTCAAGCTTGGTGTGACTTTGCTGTCACCTCCTTATACCTCTTATGAGAGCCATGAAATTTCAAAATCAGAAAATAACTGAAATACCAGCTAATCCAGTGATTTTTTTTTTTTAATTTAGACCATGAAACCTTTTCTTCAAGAAAAAGTTTACACAGAGGTTCAATATGTAAAGCAGAAAAGAGGCTGAACGGGGTCCTATACCCAAGCCTCCACTCTCAACTGCATCAGTACCTCCAAGATAGTCCCTGAAGCTCCCAGAGCCCCAGGAAGCCCCATGTAAAACCACCAATCCATGCCAACAGCTTTATGGAGAGATGAGGAAACTGAGAGGGGAATAAAGGGGTGATAGGCACAAAGCCAGCAAAACCAAGGTGGGGTTAAAATCTGGGTGTCCTGACTCCCTGGCCATTGTCCTTAGGACTTGGCATGGATATCCTTCTCTCTTTGTAAGATGGAAGCGGGGCTGGGTCTGTACTCCCAAATGACACATGTCCCAATCCCTACTGAGATTTCTTCCAAAATATTCCTCTTATTTGGAGCACCTCTACAAGTCTGCTGCACAGGGATGGTCATGCTCAGTGAGATCTGGACTTTGCTGCTCGTCAGTCCCAGAGCTCAAAGTCATCAGCATCAGCCAAAGTCATCAGCATCTTTCTAGAAGGAGACAAAGAATGAGAAACAGGGTGATTGCTGATGAAGGAGAGGAAAAGAGGAGCAGAGGAATAGTATGAAAAGGGAGATGAAAAGACTGAGTTGCTCCACAGCCCTATCTCTGAATTCTGCAGGGCTGTATCCTCCTTCCCTCCCTCTTCCACTCCCTTGGGTCACAGAAGCACTCAGTGGTATCACCTTAAACAAGGGGCCCAATCTCAGCTTCCCCACATGCTTTCTCCTCAGGAGGACCTTACCACCCCACGGAGTGCTGCTTCACCTACGTTACCCACACAGTCCTGCGTCAATGGATTATAGATTATTACGAGACCAGCAGCCAATGCTCCAAGCCTGGAGTTGTGTAGGTGGCACCCACACACCACATTGGGGAGAGGGAGCCAGCAGGGGCCTGGGACAAAAGGAGGCAGGGGGGATGTTCAATGGAGACTCCCCAGGGTGCCTTTTAGGTATATGACATGGGGAGAGAAAGCCCAGGGGTTTTCTGGCCTATCTGGGGACTGCTGGGAGCTGGGAGGAAGCTGGCGCTCTGTCTGGGGATGCATCAAGGGAGGAGAAGAAAAGGCAGAAGGGTAGTTCCTGGATGGAGACAGTAAGACTCTGGGCCCTGAGGGGCTGAAAAGCATGTCTCAGAAAGGAGACTGGCCCTGGGCTTCCTCTAACAAAGGAAGGAGAAACAGCCTAGGTCAGATGAGGAATTTTTTAGGAAGGGTAGACAAGCTCTTGCTTCCTGGATGCTGGACCCTTGGTATAGTCCTTCTCTCTCTTGCTCTATAGGTTCATCACCAAAAAGGGCCGTTCCATTTGTGCCAACCCCAGTGATGACTGGGTCCAGGACTACATCAAGGAGCTGGAGGAGATCTGAGTGACCCAGAAACAATGGAGAAGGGCACAGCTCAGAACCTTAAAGAGAAGAGGCCAAGGCCCCCCTTCCACTCCCAACTCTCAGCCCCAATTACTTCTTGGGAGCTGCCCTGCCTTGAATTAAAGACTAGTCATGCCTTCCTGCTCTCATTCATTTCAACTGAATTTACCCATTGGCAATGGACTGAGACACTGGTGAGCCCAGCCCAGGGTGGCATCCTCAGCATCAAGACTCTGAAGTCTGGCCAGGGTCTAGTGCAAAAAATGGGTCAGGCCTGTGATAAGGATTGTGGGAAGCTGAGCAGAAAGTGATAAAGATGCTCAGTATAAAGGCCACCTTTGCACAATGAATAACCACAATAATAACAGATATCATTTCTTCAGTGCCTTTTAAGTACATTATATTATGTAAGCTTTACAAGTGTAAAACTAAGAATTATCACCTGATTTTACAGGTAAATCTTCATAAAGGCCTCTCCATAGCAATCAAATTCATTCCATAGTCCTTTCTTCTGTGCTGCAAGGCCTTTGTTCACTGCCTATTCTATCCAACCCTTCCCCATCCACTTACATGTATCAGGTTGGACATATTCTATCCAACCCTTCCCCATCCACTTACATGTGTCAGGTTGTACTATATTGTTTTATTCATTTTTGTGTCCCCCACAAGGCCTAGTAGAAAACCTGGCCCATACCAGGTACTCAGGAAATGGATGGATGGATGGATGGATGGATGGATGGATGGATGGATGGGTGGATGGATGGATGGACAGATGGATGGAATGAGACAGGAATGAAAAGGAGGTTTACGCTCCAAGAATAACACCCAGCTGCTCCCAGAGGCTCTCAAACCCATCTTCAGGGTTCAAGGACGAGCTCTGTGTACTTGGAGTAAGAGTATGCCATTCTTCTCTCCTAATCTCCACAGACAAGGGCCAAGGGGGTGGGGGTGCATGCTAAAGGTACAAACAAGTTTTCTCAGACCTCCTTGCCTCCATAAACAGAGGTCAAGGGGGTACCCCACATACATACTCCCCTTATCCTCATAAAAATCCACAGCTTCACTTCCACTAACTGCCTTGAACTCACCAAGACTAATTGCATCATATGTTTTTCCATTTACGAACAGTTACACCAAGCTCATAAAGATCCCCATATTCCTTGTTCTGCCTGTTTCCTTCTACTCTCATCTCCTGCACTCTCCCCCATGCCTCTGAAGCTCCATATCTGTCATCTCTTCTCTGAATGCTGCCTTCAACCTGGAATGGGTTCCTGAAGCAGTCTTAAGAGAAGATGCTGAGGTGCAGGTCCAGCCTTAGCCAAAGCCAGAGGGCAGAAGCTGGAAGTTCGAGACTCAGATGCAAATAGTCAGGCTCACGGTGTTGGCGCGCCCTCTGCTGGCCATGATTGGCCATGGTGGCAGTTTGGACAAACCCATACTAAAGGCACCCAAGAAGGATCAGCCAACTATACCAAAGCTGGTTTAGAGTCCAAGATCCAAAGAGATAAATGAAAACATCAACAAATTAGCCAAACACTGCAGGGGGGCAAAAAACAAAAAACGAAAAAACGGAAACCCAAGGACCAGGCACACTGTCTTTTTGGAGTATTAGTAGCATAATTTGTGACGTGAAAGAGTGAATTCAATCACGTGTCCTTAGACTGGGGATGGGGAGATATCATTTTCAGAGGCCACTAAACCCAACCTCTGCCTCAGTCTGCTTTCTCTAATCTTGCTCTATGTTCATCCTCCTACAGACAGATCACCTGGGGAAACGGACACTTCAACCCTCCCTTCTTCTTCCCCAACATATAGATAGTGGCAGTTAAGGTGGTGAAATTACAAAGATCTGGTTTTTAGTACTACCTACCTGCGACCTTGGACAATTTATTTAACCTCTCTAAGCCTCAAAGGCCTCATTCGTAAAATGGGAATAATAATCTCTACTTCACTACCTTGAGGATTAAGTAAAATAGGATATGCAAGGTGGCTGGCATACAGCACAC